ATTGAGCATGGTGATGACTCTCAGGGACATAAAAGAACAATGCATGTGCTGTGTCTTGACAAAGAGGTCTGTCATTCGTCTCTATAATGTAATATTTATTGTTTATGTTTGATTTTATTGTAGTAATGCACTAAATCACATTTAACAGGAACATATGCTAGAGGCCTGTATTGAGGAAAATGACATTCAAGAAATGCAACATAAGTTGAAAGTATGAGATTTACATGTGCTGGATGGCTTTCATGTTATTCCTGCGAGGAAAAACAGGCGTGTTGTTCCCGCTGAAGTTTGCTTTGCCTTAAGGCGTGAACAGATCATATTTTGTGTGCCTGACAATCCGGGTTATCCCAAGTTTCCTGTCAATGCTTTTCTAAAAACTTCGTTCTCGGCTATTCCAATAGAGGCAGAGGCAGTTGTGAATTATGGAGGTATCTTCCTCGAAAGTTGTTTGCACAAAAAGTATTCATGATTATTTGCTTACTATGAATTGAATTGCAGATGTTACAGGTTGCGTTGTTCATCTGACGATTCCAGGATTTCCAATTAATGGTGTTCTTAGGTTTGAGCTCATCATAGAAGACAACAGGTTTCTTGCGTATTCTTGTGCTGATTTTTGTTTGTTAGACTTCATGTGGGATTAACTGATCTTTTGCTATTTTGTATAGAGGGGACAGGGCGACAGTGTAGTACTCTGGAACTGAAGTTACAAAGTATTTGGAGTTGGCAGGGGAATCTGAAGCTCGACTTCCTCTCATTACCACAGTTACTGCTGTTACAAGGTTGCCAATTACAGATGCCACTGGAGATGCATATGTATTTCAATCTTCAACTGGAAGTCGTCTGATCATTGGTTCTTACAATCACCATTATGAGAAAATCATAAATAGGTATTATTATATTCGAATTCTATGTTTATATATTGATAGACCTGCTCTGTTGGATGCTAGAAAAACAATACGTACATTCTTTTTGTTGTTTAGGTTCATAGGTGATCGAATGCCAGTGACTTACATCAATAGTACTTCTCGCTGCTCTATTGGTTATCTTCGTGGTCTTCTTCCTCCCAAAAGAACCCTCAAGCAGCTAAAGGATGATATAATGTTCCATGCACAGACCTATCAGGTATATGTATGATTTTTGTTGTTTTGATTGTATTGGATAACACATATCCCAAATATATAGTCATATCTTTTACCTATTATAACACAAATTCCTTCCTTCAGGCTCTCTATCGTTGTATGCTGGAAATGACAAGATTTACATACGGTTCAGAAGTCTTTAAATCATGTTCAGGTTTTCCAAGGTATGATTCAATTTTATGTTTTGCTAATAATCTGTTGTCCATTGCATTTCAGGAAGATCAAAACGTTCCTTTTATTGTTTAATTCAGGGTACGATATGAATTACAAGCAACATGTGAGTGTGAGGGAGAATATGTTGATGTTGTGTTTGATCATGAAGCTGTGTTGGGCTTGGTTTGGGTGTCACCCGAGGAACTTTTCAGTCTAACCTATGAAGAAGGATATCAGTACATTCAAGACAGGTGTTATGTGCCTTTTATGGATGAAGCTTATGTTGCTCCTAGGACTTCAGAAAATCCTCCTGCAATCCGAATTGCTTCAATCTGGAACCCTAATGCTTTTGTGTGATTGGAAACTGTTCTACTTGGAACTTAGTTTGTCGGGACGGCTTATTTATAATTATGTATGTTATCTATTCAGGACATGTTGCTCTATTTTCTATCAAAATAACTTAACGTTTTCCCCAAACTACTCTGGTATTTTGGAAATTCACCAATGTACTCGCTTCGACAATTTGCTAGCCACTGGTTATTCTGTTCGGTCCATATGGAAGTCCCTGATGTTTGTACCTCAATAGTTTAGAGAGGTGAATGTTTTGTTTTGATCATGAAGTCCCTGATTGGGCACATGGAGAACCTACTTTCCGCCTTTAATATTGTATCTACCAAAAAAACTAGCAGGAGACATTGTTTGCGTTTTGAATTCTGGGCAGGTTCTTCATGTTCTTCCTGTTCTTGCAGAATGACACAATAGAATATTTTATCATGATCCTTTGATCGAAATTAGCAGGAGACATTGTTTGCGTTTTGAATTCTTCGGCCTTAAACGCTTACTAAAACCGAGCCCACGTTTTCTTACGTTTTGATAGTAATGGAATGATATTGAGCCCAGCCCGAACATGCTTTAGGATTGCAGACAGAAGCCCATGGGAAACTGGCCCAAAATCACCGCTTCCTTTATAAACCCTAACTGTCTTCATCAACCAGATCCACCGTCCACATTTCCATACACTTTGCTCCGCCGCGAAAGCCCCACCACCAAACTACACGACAGCCTTTAAAACAAAGGTAACTCCACGTCCTCCTCTTCCTCAGCGTTTTCACACTTGGGAATTAACTTCTGATCATCATCCACATTGTTTGCGTAAAGACCCCAAAAGACATAGAGGGTTTGGCCAAAAACCAGCAGTCAACAGAGGACGCTCACATGGTCCCCACCGACAACAAAGGTGAATGCTTTCCATTTTTGTTAAAGAATACTACCAGGTATCTCGAATCCTCTGCTACAAAGATAAAATATGTGTTTCATTTCCCTATACTGTCTTATTATAGATCCGATCGAAACTTGCATGCCATTTCGAGGGCTGCGTCTGGGCACCAACGTCCGCATAGTAATTGCTAGGCCTGTGATGGCATGGCTCGAGTATCGAGAGGCGCCCAAGCTTAAAAATCTTAGCATGCACATGATCTGGATAGATAAAAAGTTTTTTTCCATTTCAGTTACAGAATTAGATAATCTCTTCATCAACAATTTTAAACTATTATAATACATAATTTGGAACCGTTTAACTGCTTATCTTATAGGCACGACTAATCGAGTCAATGGTTGATGAAAAAGAAATCGCCGAGATTTCTCGCAAGATAAAAGTCGGGAACCTTTATCAGTTTGATTCGGTTGAAGCAATACCAGCAAGAGAGAATCCAAAGATCGTTGCAGGAGAGTTAAGAGTGCACATAACCGCTGACCAAAAAATTACCAGGATTGAGGAGGACCCAGATGAGCCACGCTTGCCCGCTGGCTGGGACATTGGGATGGCTTTTTCGATGGTACCACTTCAGACAAACACCATCGACTATCATACAGGTACATTAACCATATCTATTTGATATAATAAAATGAACTTAAGCTTTTAAATGACAAACTCTTATGTTGCTTATAGACATCACCGTATGCATTAGGCGTCTCAGTGTTCCCACAACAATTCGCAGTAGACTCAAAGAATTTCACATGGTCGTTCAGGAGGTGAGGTACATTTTGTAGAATAGAATCTCGATCTGCGAATTGTATGAATAAACAACCTCACATATTAATGTCATTGACAGTGGCGCTAAGGCAACTGTTCGGTATCGTGGATATGATATACCGAACTTCTTAGAGAACGCCCCGACAGCTGAGGCTCATCTGCCTCTGATTGTTGCAATCAAGTCTGTCATTCGGGTGGCACCTCTAGCCGACCAGAAATACAAGTATCGGTTCGAATCCACTCCTGCCAGTGCACTCATGATCAGATCTTATAAAGTCCCAGTCCAGGAGATAATGCACATGTACATTTAGATTGACAGAATCCTTTCCATTTTTTGAATCATATTTGTTGCCAGTCGGCCAAAACCAATTACATTGACACTTTTGTCTCTTTTATGCGACAACCAGTTTCCTTTACAGTCGCAGGCAAGTTTATTTCATGGATGCCAATACCAGTAAGAAGACAGGCTGCCTTCGATCAGGATTCGAAAAGAAGACACTCTCTGACATGGAAACAATGCTTGCATCTGATCAGACTGTCCACAAGGTTAGTGAGGGACAGAACATAAACCAAACTCCTATACTGTGTACCTACATTTTTCGTAGACCTATGTCTTATCAGTATCTGATGTTCATGCTAGGTACTCTATCGTGTTAAGTTCTTCATCTCACAAATGAAATTTCGAAAAGCCATATGTCAAGCGACTGAGGACTGGCCAGAGTAAGTTTTCTATTTCAAAACGACAATTACTTCTCATGTGAATCAATCTATCTACGAATAAGCCAACAAGTTTCTGAACTTATACTTATGACTAGGCTGCACTATGAGTTGGAAGTCAAATGCAAGAAAAGAGATGATAGTGTTGATGCCATACTGGACCACGAGGCTACACTATCAATAATAGGAATGTCACCCAGCAAATACAAAAAACTCGATGCAGAATCGGCCAAGGCGTTGCTGGTCAAAAGATGTAGCAGAATGTTTGCAGGAGAGCTCTACATCGGTTCCTCAGATCTGAAGAACAGAACCAGAACAGCCGTATCCCAAATAAGAGTAGCGACACTTTGGCACACCTCAAGGATAGATAAGTGACCATCAGCACTACTGACAGAAAGGCCAACCGAAGTATCCCATCCACCCCTAGAATTCTCCATTTTAAACTGAAGTTTCTATTCCCTATTTTCAGTGAAGACAAAACTATGGCAGATGTGTTTGTGTTTTTTAATTTCGTCGAGGGCATCAGATACTAAAGTTTTTATTCCCTATTTTCAATGAAGACAAAACTATGGCAGATGTATATGTGTGGTGTGCACAAAGATTGTTAATATGTTTGTTAATTTCTGCGCTCTCTGGCGCAATGAATCTAAACTATTTGCGAATGGTATAGCAGAAAGAACATAACAAAATCCACAAAACAACTGGAATCAGACTTATCCCGCCGCGGAGCGCGGGCCAAGTACTAGTATAACAATAATAGCAGTAACTTGTTATGAGAATTAATAATTAAGCAACACTCAAGAGAACAATAATGCCTACTTTTCTTCATAATTAAAGTAACAACACTCTCGTTGCTTGAGGCCCTTTTTCTATAGTTTCATAAATTCCCTTTGCTTGTAAGAGCAAAAGTATATTAGAAGAAGAGTCAACTATGAAGGGATTGCAATTCTCCACTATTCGCACATGATTCCTTTTTATATGCCAGCGTGTCAGGTCAGACCAGTAATAATTGCAATTTCGTTAATTAGATTCAGTTAATCCCAGATAATTAATCCAACAAAATCCCCGATTATGTCAAACCTTTCCTCATTTTCCCGCTTACAATCTTTTCTTGACTTTGCTTAATAGCTAAAAAAAATCCAACGGTATTTTCCAACAATGATCAATTGCCCCCACCGGAAAAGTAATTAAAATTAGAAAAAATTAAACTCCGCGCCACCGTTACAGCTACAAGCCTACAACGCCCGCCGCTTCTGCCGCCGCCATTGCTGCTGCTGCAACCGTCCCGCCGCCGTCCACCATCCTCTTCCTGGACGGAGAACTCCCCGGCGGACTGACTTATTGAAGGTACGGATACCCGTTAATTTCAGGCACAAACCTGCCTTTTGAACCCGAACCTCTCCTTCTCCAAATCGTACTCAATGTAGTAATCCCTCTGCTGATAATTCCCCAAAATGATCGCCGGGCCGCCTCGGAGTCCCGCCCCAACGACATTATCGCTCACAATCGTGAAACAAATAGCCCCATCGCCGGCAAGCACAAAGTAATTCGTCACGGGGAGCTTCATCTCGGCCCCGCCCTTGAATTTGAAGCTCAATTCGGGGACCGACACCGTGTCCTGGCCGGAAACATTGTAACAGGGCCTCAACCCAGTAAGATCCTGAATCTCCGTCGCCACCGTGAAATTCGCCATCCTCTTCCCAATCTCCTTCACCACCGCCTCGAACACCGGCCGCTCCATGTAAGTAAAAGTCGTGCCGGAGTCCACAATCGTGCCACCGTTTCCGTCAGATCCGGGCTCCAGATACTCCGACGGAACCTTCACGTGCTTCCCCTCGACGACGATTTGCCGGAGATTGACGTAGTAATAGGTCTGCAAAGCGGAATTAGAAGTCACGGGGTTCTTCCTGAAGGGCGTGTAGCTAACCTCCGCCGTCTTCTTCCCAGATCCAGAATCCAGATCCAGAACCAAATCGCTGGAAACGGGCGCGTCGTCGAAGCTGTGGGAGACCAAACAGTAGGAGAATTTCTTGGCTCCGACTTGGGAAGGAAGCGAATCGAGCCCACGCCCAAACCCAGCGATTCCTTCGGGCTGCCTGGCGGAGAGAATCGAGCAACCCACGAGAAAATCGGGAACCTTCTTCTCCGGGAAATCGAGCGTCTCGGTAAGAAGAAGACCGGCGGTGGATCCCAAACCGTACTGAATCATGTACGGAGGGCAGGTCTGGGTACAATTGGGGGAAGATCCAGGGGCGTCGCAGCCGGAGCATTTCGATTCGACATTGGGCCCGTAAATCCACTGGCATTTGGGGTTTTTACAGCCGAGGAGCATGGCGGTGGAGGAGTTTCTGGGGATGAAGGAGGGGATGGCGGCGGGGTCGACGTTGGGGAAGTTGCAGCGGGAGCAGAGATAGCGGGAGGTGCAGGGGAACCAGACGAGGGAGCTTCCCGTGTCCATAACGAAGCTGGTGGACTGCGGTGGAGTGCCGAAGCTGAGGGAGATGGAGTATCCGCCGTAGCTGCGGGGGAAGAGTGGGGTTTTGACTAAGGAAGTGGCGAAAACAGGGGAGGAATCTTGTGGGTGGAGGTGGGTGGATTTCAATCGGAGGGCTCGGGAGACGGAGGCGGAGGCGAGGTGGGCGAGGATTTGGTGGAGGTCGGTGGAGGCTGGGGCGGAGGAGGGGGAAATTGGGATTGTGATGGCGGTGACGGCGGCGGTGGAGATTAGGAGAAGGAGAGAGAGGATGAGGGGATAAGGGGAAGGAGGAGACGCCATGGGAGGAGATGCTCTGTTTTTTCTCAATGGGTCTCGTGAATTGGTGGGGGGGATTCGAGTTTAGTTGGGGCAGTGAAGTACTGAAGTCTGTAGTGTCGTTCTTTAAAGGGAGCCGCTGGAAGGGAAAAGGACCTTTTTGCAGTGGAAAGATGAAAAGGCGGAAAAAGGTAAGGGTGGGAGAGGAATCAAGTTCGATTTCAGTGAAAGGATATGTGAACCAGACAGATATTATTGAGTCGAGTTGTATATTAATACAGTATACTATATAGGTTTGGGGTCTTCAAACTTTATGAACCCTAACCTACTCTGCCATAATATTAGACTATTACTCACTAGTAATTGGAGTAGCCTAGTAAGGAATTCTCTCGACTCAAAGTGAGTCATTTTGAGTTGGAATTTCTTGATAATGGTGATGTCTAGGCAGGATTATGGACGACATGGCAAGACTCCAACGACAAGGGGACGAGCCGACGTTCCGGGTAGGAATCACGGTGGCGAGCTATTTGAAAATGGCAATAAAATTTGAAAAGGTTGTGGTCTTGTGGGAGTTCAAGTGGAGTTCGATGCTACAATGTCTATGTCTGTTTCCACTTTTTTTTATTAAAACTTTTCGACAAATTTTGAGTTTAGATCAAAACAAATTAATTCTTGGCTCGTTTTCTTCGTGGATTTGAATTTTTTTTTTTGAAAGGAAGCCCTGTAATATTATTGCATAAAACTCAGACAGATTGGACTTTCTCAGCCTCAAGCAGACTCCTAATGGAGAATGGGGGACAATCAGTCCAAATACAAACTTGATCTCAAAGGGTATTCAAATGGGCTAAACAATGGGCCACAACATTTGATTTTCTAGGCACAAAGACCCATTTAACCTTCTTACCCGACATGGCCGAATTGGTAATCGCCAGCTCTCTTATCTCTTTGCACCATACCCCCCAGCTCGGTGCGATCCTCATCATCCTCCTTCACCAGCAGTTGAACCAGTCTCAGACAATCGGTTTCCACAATCAGAGGACTCCATCCTCTTTGGTTTGCTTCTCGTAAGCCAGCTAGTATAGCCCTTGCCTCAACTTCCACTGGTATGCAATTGCCAGTCTCCTTCCCAGATACAGCTCCGAGAAAATCCCCATTCCAATTTCTGAACACACACCCAATCCCAATCCCAATCAGCTTAAGAACCCCTGTGTCGCTGTTCATCTTGAAAACTCCGGTCGGTGGGGGTTTCCAACCCTGGGTGCTAGCCAGTTGTCTCGAATTCGTGGCCATGATTCCCTGAGCATGCAGGTAATCCGAAATCCAATCAAGAGCTTTAGGGATAATCTCCTCCACCTCAAGTTTCTTATTATTAAACATATGGTTGCATCTTTCTTTCCAGATAAACCAAAGAATTGCACAGAACCTTTGGAGGCTTTCAATTGATTGAGTCTCGAAGGTTTTAAGGAACCAGTCTCTGCCAGACAAGCCTTCCCTCTGTTTGAATGTCTCACTTTCGCTGCATGGTTGCCAAAGACGGCGGGTCCAGTCGCAATCTCTCAAGCAATGGAGCTGGGTTTCAGGGAGACCACAGAACGGGCAATCAGATGGGGCCTCTTCGATTTTGCTTTCAACATTGGTCCCAACAGGTAAGATGTCCTTGCTAATCCTCCATAGAACGACTTTAACCTTAGGTTGAATGGGGAGCTGCCAGATTCTTTTCCGATAGCTTTTGATTTTTTGAGCTTCCATGTTACCTTCGTCCATCCTAGGGTATTCCTTCTGCCAAAGCTTCCTGTATGCCGATTTCACATTATAGATCCCATTTTCCGCTTCAGACCATAGAACAATATCTTCAGTAGGTGGATTTCTCAAGGGAATCTTCATAATTTCTGTCTGATCAGTAGCAGAGAAAAGGGTTCTAAGCTTAGGTAGATCCCACGATCCATTGTCTCTGCCAATGAGCGAGCTAACCTTGAGGTTTTCTCTGTGATCACTGTCTTGTTGAAGTGGTAAAAGTTTCATGGTATTTGGAACCCACTAGTCCTCCCAAACGTTGATACTATTTCCATCCCCCACTCTCCATCGAAAGCCATCCACAATTTCATCCTTAGCTTTGACCAGGCTCCTACAAATATAGCTAGGATTACTCCCTGTCTTGGCATTCAGAATGTCATTTCTAGGAAAGTAGTGACCTTTGAGAATCCTGGCCATCAGGGAATTAGGCCGATTTAAAATGTTCCAAATCTGCTTCCCAAGCATAGCAGTACTAACAGTTCTCAGGTCCTTAAAACAAAGACCATCAGAATCCTTCGGTTGACACAACTCTTCCCACCTGATCCAGTGAATCTTCTTCTCATCATATTTTTGCCCCCCACCAGAACCTCGCAATCAGACTTTGAATTTTCTGAAGAACTCCTTCCGGAATTTTGAACACCATCATAGGATAGATAAGTTGTGCTTGAGCAACTGCTTTAATCAGACTTTGAAAAATGAAGGTTTTAATAAAACTTAGGTTTTGAAAACCTATGGATGTATGAGGGTTGGGTTCATTATGGATTTGAAAAACACCATTGTTTGTTTCATAGATTTCATGATGAAATTTGTTAATGAGATCTGTATATATGAAGTGAAATTGACCTTTATTACCCTCATTGGTCTGAGAAGAGAAAGAATATATGAGGGATAGGTTGGTCACAAATGGTAGATTTCAAAGTCCATGATCAATTCCACCTAAAGACGTGAGATTTTCAAGTCCATGAAGCCCACAATTCGAACACTCAAGTCTCTGGGTCCAACAAATTTTATACTGCTAAATACAAGAAGTAAACTATGTCTATGTTTGGTCCGACTTTTAGAAGTGTTTTTCGGGTTCAAAAGCTGAAGCAAGGCCAAACAACTCTAAAAGCTCAGATTTTAAAAAAGGCGAAAAGCGCTTTTGTATAACATAAAAACATAAGCTCCAATTTGGAGCTTCTGCGAAAAGCTGTTTTGAAAATGGGTTAGTTTGGCCCTGCTGTAACTTTTGCGGAAGTAGCTTCTGGCAAGAGCTTTTAGAGAAACACTTTTCAAAAAAAGCAGCTGAGCGTTGGCTAAAAAACTAGTAAAAGTGTTTTTTTAATATACGAGGTTATGTAAAATGACTATATAGTATTTATAAAATAAAATATGAATAAATATAAGAGGTTTTATTGTGGTCGACTAAAACTTACTACTTAACTACAAACGGTCGACCATATGATATTTGAGGTCCTCAGGGTGCCCAAATTAGTCAATTCGGTCGACCTCTGTTAGGATTAGGTCGACCGAATTTTTCATGTTACGGTGACATGAATGTCACCATAGGCACACCCTAAATATTATGATTTTATAATTTATTTTATTTTTAAAATGATATAAATGAAAGAAAATTATATTTTCTGCAATAAAATTAAAATATGGTAAGGATAATCTTGTATTTTCAAAACAGCTTTTCACATAAGCTCAAATCGGAGCTTATGCTTTTATGTTATGCGAAAGCACGTTTTGACTTGTCAAAAGCCGAGCTTTTAGAGGTGTTTGGCCTTGCTTCAGCTTTTGAATCCGAAAAACACTTCTAAAAGTCGGGCCAAACATAGTAAATACAAGATTATCCTTACCATATTTTAATTTTATTTTAGAAAATATAATTTTCTTTCATTTATATCATTTTAAAAATAAATAAATAATGAATCATATTATTTGATATAAAAGAAATCTAACAAGATTCATTTTGAATACATTTTATTTTTTAGAATTTTTATTCATATTTTATAATATTAGTCCTTTATAGTTATTTTACACAACCTCTCACTTCAAATAGCTATTCAGGCAAACACTCAACTGTTTATTTTGAAAAGTACTTCTCTAAAAACTCCAGGATCCAGCCAGAAGCTATTTCTGCAAAAATTACAGCATGCCACCCTATATGTAATTTAGACGAAGTGCATGGCCATAATTCTAAATAGCGAGGCAACCCCCAACAAATAATACATGATACCAAAGCTACCCGACCAACGGGCGGGGCTCTACACTAGTTTTTGTAATAGATCTGTTTAACATTAGGTAGTGGCGGAGCCAAAAAATTTATATAGGAGTGTCCTCTTTCAAAAATTAAATAAATAATTAAATAATTTTAAATTAGAAAATATCTAACTAATACAAGTTACAACAAAAGTCTACGGCGTGTTACAAAATATACTCAGTGTCTGGTCGGCTCAACAAATATATCTATCTTACTATACAATCATTCACAAACTGATCATTTAATCAATTTTGAAACTTGTTCTTAAAGTTTCTCAAAACTAAATATGTTATTTCAACTAATCCCCTGATGAAAAGAGCGGTCCAAGTACTCCAGCTACTCTTCGTAAGTGCAGAAGATTTAGCCAATGGATGAATCAAAAAGAACTAGTCGACCTGGGCTTCTCTGGTCCACGCTATACCTGGTCAAGAGGTTCTGAATCGTCCACGTTCAAAGCAAGCAGATTGGACCGGAGTTTATGTAATCTGTTATGGAACGAGGTTTTCCCTGACACCACAGTCCTTCATCTTGCTCGTATGGGGTCGGACCACCACCCTATTCTCACGACAGTCACGACTCAGGGAGTTCCCTCTTCCTCTCCTAAACGTTTTAAATTTGAGGCAGCCTGGCTCACTCATGATAATTTCCATAGTTTCTTAACTGAGTCGTGGAATTCTCAAGTTGCCTTACCTCTGGCTTTGCAGGAGATATCTACTAAGCTTCAGGACTGGAACGCCATAGTCTTTGGCAATGTCTTTCAGAAAAAGAAGAGGTTGCTTGCAAGGATTGGGGGAGTGGAGAGGAGGCTCGCGGAAGGTTTCTCTCCGGGACTTGCTAAACTTCATTCTAAGCTTTCGACTGAGCTGGATAAGATCCTGGAGCAGGAGGAGATGCTTTGGTTTCAACGATCTCGAGAGAAGTGGGTCAAGTTTGGAGAACGGAATACATCCTACTTCCATCAACTTACAAAGATCAGACGTAGGGCCAACAAAATTGAGTGTTTGAAAGATGAGAATGGAGATTGGGTGACTGATAAGCAGCAGCTGGCAGCCATGATCTTCCTTTTCTACTCGGAACTCTATTTGCAGGATGGACTGCCGTATTCCGATCTTATGCCGAAAGGGGAGTTTCCTCAACTCAACCACTCAGATTTCAGCCAGCTTCTTCGGCCTTTTACTATGATGGATGTTCATAAAGCGGTTTTTGACATGAAGGCCTACCAAGCT